TCCGAACATGATGGACCCCTCCTACTACACCTTATTGATCACAAGAGGTACCATGAGGCAAAAAGAGAACATATCTGTGATCAGCATCGAATAACTCCTCTGTGGCAAATTTGAGCAAAGACGCATTTCGCAAATTTGGGGCACAAATGCTGGAAAACTCCGAAAAAGTGGTAGGCAAAGAAGATTGCATGTTGAGAAGAGCGTGATGTGCGAGTAGAGTAAAACCAAGTGGTAAGTTATATGGACCTGGAACAAATTGCAAAAGCCTGATCTATGTTCAAAGAATGCTCCAGCTTGAGACGAATTTTCTCCTCCCTCAAAAAAATCATGAATAAACGTGAAAGCGTAAAGTGAAACACATTCTAAAAGAATAGAACATGAACGACTATTGCAGATACGTTGCAGTAACAAAAATAAGATTACTATTAATGTTTAGTGATAATTTGGATAAGTAAGCATTTGTTCTTTGAAAAGACAAAATGATGAACCTTAATGCAACGACTGTTCTCCGCTAAAACTGCATGCTTTGCGTAGATGATGCAAAAAAGCAAGAGAAGTGATTGCAGTCCCAGGTTTATGACACTATAACACAGTAAGATCATTTATGAAACACTGGATCAAAGGTTTCGAAATGCGTAGCAAGGACGTGAAGTGCGCTAAGGATAACGTGCTCCAATCTATTGGCACTGGAGCGCAATTTAGTTATCCCCCCCCCAGTTCCGCTGTCGATTATGGGCGTTTCTTGCAGTAGAATCCAACATGTGCGATTTTTTTTGCGATCGATCCAGACTGCACGGCGTACGCTGCGTACGCTCCTATGATGAAATATACCAAGCGTACGCTGCGTACGTCACGTACGCCCGTACGCCGCGTCTGGCTCAACCCCAAAACGGATTAGCTGGATGATTAGACGCTCAAATTTTAGCCATAATTGACGAGTCACAATTCTACTGGAAAAAAGATAATAAGTGACCGTGGCATTTTGGTGTGTGACATATGTTATGACTTTAAAGGCACCGTCCACCCAAATATTCTCGACTTAGATGTTTTCGCCCTTCCTGGGCCTTCTGGTGTCGCTGATTCCGAATATGAAGTTAAAATTGCGTGAAAACCCCGAAAACTCCCCGTTTTGTAGACCCCGCGCTGATAAGCGCGGATGAGTTTTATGTGGGCACCCCAGGGGTCCTGCGTGGAGCGTCACCTGGAAAGTTGTCGGGCGCAATCGAGCAATTAATGATTTTCGTGTTCCGCATGAAAGGAATAAGTCTGCATGTAGTACGTCAGTGCATTTCTTCATTCTGTTGTTAGTCATCTTCATATCAAGGCCCCATACTTGCAGAATCGCTCTCGGGATATCCCTCAGACTTCGAAAAAGCGCCATTTACTAGCTTTCTTCTATTTCTTCATTGCATTACTGATGTGTTACGTCGTTTTTTCACCTTTACTTCGTTGCAAAGAATTTTTGGCGTCTTTTTCGCTTTCTGTTCGACTTATCGTACATCGTTAACGGGGTTGCGGTTTAGCATTATAGCTCTTTTGGGAAGGAATGGTGCCAACGCCAGCAGAAAATAGAAGGCTGTAATCATAAGAAAGAGAATTATGATAGCAAAACAATACAACCCCACCTTTTCCAACTTCTCGTAGATTTTTCGACCTTGAATGATGCCAAGGCAAACAGGGAATAACAGGCTGTAATCATAGGAAAGAAAATTTCAATCGTAAAACACAGACTCACCCTGTGAGACTCCTCGTAAAATTTAAAGTTTTCGGCCTCTCTTCCGATCTCGTAAAGGAAAAGTTTTGAAGTAAATCATCATGCGAACGAAAGAAAGGTAAAAATCGATAATTGCACGGCGTCATACATGCGCCTACGACACGACAGTTTACAAGTGCAGGTTGTCCTGTCGTTAGTCATGCGTTAAGGGGATATCACTGTGTGGGCGGGAGGCCCTTGGTCAGGTGGGGGGCCCTCTCATTCTTCGATATACTGAAACGAATATCTCGCTTCAGAAGCGGCCGTTTGCTTCCAAACTTCGGCAGTAGCTTAGTAGGAAGGTCCACCATTGTGAACTGTCATAACCTCATAGCGCGCACCTAGGGTGGACGGCGCCTTTAACTTACGTAATCTCAAAACTATACTCGCTACCTGCCAAAAGATTGGAAGGAGGTATGAGCGGCGTTTCTCCTCGGTGTGACGCTTTGCACAAGAGTATGAGCAATGTTAAGTACCAGTAGGTGCCAAAGGTGCCAGATGGTTGATGGCGTTTGTGCTAGATTATTACGCAAAGGATGATAAGGCTGCGTTCATACTGATTCCGAATTTTGGGAACAGTTCCAGCACAGCGCTCAAACTGAGCGCTGTGCTGGAACTGTTCCCGAACTTACGGATCAGTATGAACGCAGCCTAAGGGATGAGGATGTTTTGTCATTTGTGGGAAGACATTCTCGTCTGCTTCGACAACTGCTTGCTATTTCTTAGAGAATCGCTCCACGACAACAAACATAATATCTTAAGATTAGGGTGCCTCCATAATTCTCTGGCAGCAGCGTTAGTCCCTGTCAGCAAGCGCCAGCCGCCGTTGGCGAACATCAGCTGCCGTAGGCTATCACCAGCAGTCATCGGCGTTAATCGCCGTCAAAAGCTAAACGCAAATCATCGCATTTTACTGAAGGAAAATTTTGATACAGCTGGTTGTCTATCATGTATCATATGCAAAATTGTATAGAACAACAGCTCAAGGTACACACTACAGTCTGCCCCAATCCCAACCAGGCCAAAATTGGCATGGCGGGAGTTTGCGTCGTTAGGATTTCGCGGTCAGCCCATGGCCTGCTTCTCTGCTCTCTCACCAGTCCTTTTGCTCTCTCTCTCTGACAGCGCGCATATGTAGCGCAAACGCTTAGCGCTGCGAGCGCGCAAATTTACGCCGACGGTTCGGCCTAATCCCGATTGGGGCAGACTGTATATCTATCCTCCTCGAGCAAATCCTCTTCCAAGCAAGAAGGCGGTGTCACTACCCGCATGAGTCCTCGATTTTGTAGCAGATAAAATGAATGAAAAGGGTGAATACGAGTCAAAGCAGATGGCAAAGGCGGCAACTCCTCATGATCATCGCCGATGAAAAAGAGCCGAACTCGCAGACAATAGTTTGCTCTGTAAAAGAACGGTAGCAAGGAAAAGAGACGTAGTTGCAAGCGACGGCAAGAGATATAAAAGCACAAACTATTTTGCTACATTAACGTCTTCACGCTAAGACTGTCATTCAATTATTCATAAGCAGAAGCAAACTTTACTGAAGTCTTGGAGCGTGCAAGGGTATGACTCAGATAAGGCATACGGGGAAAAGATAGTCGTTGCGGAAACATACCTCGAAACTAAAGAAGTGTAAAAGACACAAGATCAAGCGCATTGAGACTTTAAAGAGTGGATTAACCATATCGTTCTAGAATAATGCGCGTCACAATCGAACACGCGGTTAACGATAGCATATCCAAGAGAGCTTTGCAGCTACAATATGACAAAAAGGATTATAAAGATGATGCATGAGAGTCAGAACGCATTGAGCGAGAGCGAGAAGAGAATATGGGGAATAAGCAGGGCTGCATAAACGCAGTGAAAATGCAATTAGGTTTATTGACGTTCAAAAAAGTGATGCGCTTTGCACTAAAATAGACTGCAAATTCTCCCACAAACCTAGCAGATGATCCATGTCTCTTTAGTCTACTAAAAGACCAATGAGCAGCTTTATCTAGAGGCTCACCACTTTGTCGACTGTGTGCAAAACCAGCACCGCTCACATCTTACAGGGGAGAGGATACTTAGTCGAAAGCGCCAATCCCGATGAGAGACACACACAATCCAGAGCGCTTGAAACGCTGATCCCAAATCTATAGTTTTTAGCTACGGTCTTAGGATTTATGAGGGGTGTTTCTCTCTGGGGTTGAGGCACTCTCCAGCAGGTCTCCCCTTATCTATAAGCACTGTAGAGGAGTATCAACTGGTGGCTACTGGTCTAGTGGTAAGTAATTTGAATGAAGATCACAATAAGGATTATAGTACTCATAGCACTTTGGTTTTTTCAGCACTTCTAACTTCGATTAGATCAGTATCATCAGAAATTTCAGGCTTCAGGGCTCCAGAGCCATTTAGAAGCTCAAAATTGCAAAATTTGCGATGAAATTGCATGCGAAGGGATTAATATCTTGACACTCTCCTTAACAAGCAAGTCACTTACCACTAGGCCAGCTGCCACCAGTTGTACTCCTCTACAGTGCTCATAGATAAGGGGAGGCCTACTGGAGGTGCCACAACCCCAGAGAGAAAACCCCTCATAAATTTCTACAAAACCGTTTCGTAGCTAGAAACTATAGATTTGGAATCAGCGTTTCAATCGCTTTAAGGCGACATATGTCTCATCTGGATTGGTGCTTTCGACTAAGTATTCTCTCCTTGTTAGACTCGTTTAAGCGTGTTCTCGCCACTCGCTGTTTTTTTTTTCAGTTTCACCTTTCTGAAGGGGAGGGGGAGAAAGAGTGGTAGATTTTCCCATATACTTTTGGGTTGCACTTATACCCAATAAGCCTATTACTTGAAAGATCTCTTCAAAAATTGGACACTTCAACAATGCAGGAAAAATGAGCTTTTGTTAGATCAACTTTCTAGTTAGAAGCATTTTAAGCGTGTCTGCTTGTACAGGCTATTCACCCAACATCGGCCATGAAACCACGAGGTCGAACTGCGTGAACCCGAAGCGGCAGCGAGTATAGCATATATTACACAGGCGCTAAGGTATTTTGTGCATGGAATTTCGAAACATAAGCGGCATAAGTATAAATGGCTTGGATTGCATGGATTGGATGGATTTTTCGAAAAAAGACCAAAGATTTGTTTTCTGTAAAATTGGTTAAATCAACTTGCCATATGTGTCCTGCAAATATGAATGCATCGAATGAATGCACTATTCGTGAATGTGTGAAAATCTAGTAGTTCCTATCTACAGGCATGCTCTGCCAGCCGAGTGACTGTCATACCAGCGCAGTTCCAGCATATGGGTAAGTCCTCATCGCTCAATGGAAAAAAACAGTGGATAAAGGAGCGTTTTTTCAACAGAAGTTGTAGACAGGTGAGAGATGATGTTACAGTACATAGCTACCGGAAAGTGAATTCGCATAAATGACAGTGCAAAAGAAGAAATCCTTTCGCAAACATTACAAGTACGATGCCTACACATTCTTCCCACACTTTGGAAGGCGGATACTACACTTACGATTTCATGTGGTTTACGAGCGTAAATAAGGGGGATCACCTCATGATTAGTTTTGGATATCCATTAAAACTGACAGGTATGTTCTTCAAATAAATGTTTGTGATATATTGGACAATCTCAATTTGTTGCAGGAATTCTCATGGTTAGTGGAGTCGACCCTGCCTTGCACGATGTGTTCTCCTCTGACACGCAGTTATTCGCGGTGAAAAAGGATAAAAATGAAGTGCTGCTGGCTAATTTCACTATTCACGGAGACTTGATGACTCGTCTGGCAGGAACTGAAGTGATCGCCCTCATTCTTCGAGTGAATTCGAACCATAGCACATGGGTGATATTAGCTCATATTGAGATAGATGTTGAATAACTTTCATAACTTTTTGTGAGAGTACTGTTTTCCCCCACATTCATTCTTATATGAAAAAGTTTGAGAATTGTTACCAGCTTAAATTTTGTGTGTAATCCAAAAGTGCTGGGACACCCTGCTTATTCTACGACTCTGAAGGTTTTCTTCTTGATTAACGATATACAGCGAAGTGAACGTTTTTGTATAAAGTGACTTTTGCATGTTATCATGGTAGCAGCACGCAGCCCCATTCCCTGTGAAAGACAATGTGAGACAGGTTTTTTCAACACCATCCGAACTTGTGCTGCTGTACCCACAAATTCCCTGGATGTGACATACCTTTTGAAAGCACTTTTCATGCTCTTTCTGATGGTTCCTTAAATGTACGAAAGTTCTCCATCACTTTGTGTAAAAGAGGTCATTCGGAAAAATGCGGTATTTGGCGTAGATATTCAGGCTAAAAGTCATGTTTTGCCTCACAATTCTTTGAAAATTAAAAAAGTAGAGGAATTTGCCCATGCATGGATGGAGCGTAAAAGGCTCTGTCAGATGTCAGCCGTCAAAGATGGGCTCTTTAGATTATTTTTATTTTTTATTTGAGAAAACTGCATTCATTCTCCAAGTATCCCATTACTTTTGGATTACCCCATTGAAAAACACCTCTAATCAATCGATAAATTATTAATTCTACCCACTTCAAACTTGATGCAAGTGAAACTTGTCGAGTTGAACCACAAATGAAAAGCAGAATAGTTCCAGATATTGCAGACATTGACTCGATAATAAACGTGATATTCGTTTCCATCTTAATTTCCATCTATCTCATCGTCAAAATTAAAAATTAGAAGCAATTTTCAATTAATATGGGTTATGCCGTAATGTGCAAACGTTCGAAGGCAGATCCTTCTTTTATTGCAAGCAATTCGATTCCGAACTCCGATTATATCAAAAAAGCCTGCATCAGCTCAGCGGGCAGTAAAGCAGGTCACTAACAAAGGTCAAAAATCAAAGGCAGGAACAATCATCGAAAAAGAGTATCCTGCAGTATCAAGCAAGGCCTGAGGCACACGATCCCCGGATACTCTCCCCCCCCCCCCCGGATATGAGTGTCAATAAGATCCCTTCTATTGCCGTTTACCATAAGCCATAAAAAAGAAGCTCTATCAGCTTCTAGAGGTCAAAAAATTATATTAGGGTGATCGGTAAAAATGAGGCAGCTTGATTTTTACTGAATTTTGAGACTTTTGTTTCAATCAACAACAAGCAGGCTGCAGTGTAAATGTCGTCATAAGCGACATTCGTTTATTATTCTGGCAAAGCGTCAACGCTTCTCTCCTACAACCCTACGCGTGGCGCCCTGAAGAACTCGAATAGGGTTTTTTGAACATCGCTTATTCTTGCGCTGCCATACCGTATAATTATAGAGCATTTGATATACCATTCGAAAGAACTCCTCATGCTCTTTCAAACAATATATTAAACATACAGGATTTCTTTCTATTTCTGGGTAAAAAAGCGAAATACCTGAAATATTTTTTGGCGCAACAAAAAACAATAAATCAAGTTCCAATCTGTATTTTCCAAAGACAGATAAAATGTGAGGTAAGCTGCATACAGATGGATAGAGCGTAAAAAGCTTTTCAGAAGGTACCTATAAAACCTGCGTTTACCTGCAAAGAATTGATTAGCACGTATCTTTGTTCTCAAGGCTGCTAATGGCCATATCTCCTGAATTTGAAAGTTGAGGCCAGCAACCCATCTGGGTCTGGTGACTGTACCTTCACGCATCGCAGCAGTAGTACTTTGGAAGGTTTCGCATGTTTCACTGCGCAGATACTGCCCGAAGTTTGTAATTTGTCAAAGTGACTAACTTTGCATTTCAGCCACTACAAAAATTATTGGGTACGTAAATGACCCTATATAAGTACTTTCTGAAAGAGAATAATTAATTCTAACATCTATCAAAATTGGGAAGTTTAATCGCTTTTCTTTTTTGAGAAAACTACATTTATTCTCTAGGTGCTCCATTTTTTACCAATCACTTTAATATGTACCATTTTCATGACTAGCATGAATAACCCCGTGGACCAAGTTTTACCGAATTCTGAAGCTTTACGATCTGCATCACCTAGCAGAAATGGCCAGATTTAAACATGATTAATCTTTTCAAAAAATGACATAGGTATCTCTTTTTGCGCCTTAATAGAAAACGCCCTCCATCTAGAATTTTTACTCCTAATGACCTCCAAGCATTAGCCACAAACTCGCCTTAGCGCATTTTTCGCTTTCAGTGGGTATGCTTTCAGCAGCTATTACGCAAAGAGCAGACCAATAAGGCTCAAATCGCTTTTGTGCAAACCAGGAAATACAGGCTATTGATTCACTGAAAACTACCCGCAAAAAATTTCCTGTAACAAAAACATTGGGGCTATGCCACACCCTAACTTACCTTCAAATCATTCAAACATCTATGCAGCTAAACCCTATTTTCCTCATTATAGAAATTCAATCTGAAATTGTTTCTCCTTTGAAAAGACATGTTTTTCCAATGTGCAGGCACATAGGGTACGGTAAGCCTCCGCTAGTACGTATCGTTCATTCTTAAAATCGTGACGACGAGTTTCGCTGCGGTCTTTACGCACGCAAGAGCATAAATCACCCATAAGAACAGGCATCACTTCATCACTCAGCGGTCACTCCCAGTGTTTGAATACTATCATATGTAAGCAAAATAACTATTAACCACTTCGAATGGATATGGACCAAGAAAATGCAGTTGCTAAAAGTGCGTGCGTGTAGCGCGCATTCGCGCCATTGTTACGATTTTTTGGATGCCCTGTGTGTCGGAGAGGAGGTGGCAAGAATATGTATATCCGATAACTCAGATCGTGGTTTTCACAGGAATCATTCAAGCCTAATTCGACTTCTTTGGTCTAAGTAAAAGTTGCTGAAACACAAACATTGAGAGCTAAAATAGGACAAGCACTTATCATGTTTTTGATTGATGTGTGCATTCCGTGTACTCAGCACACTCAACACCTTATAGTCATGCTTTCTCAAGCGTAATTCAATGCACATTATGCATTGGAACGTAATCACTGCACAATTTTGAAAACTTGTAAGTTTTTCAGAGAATCCCGCAGCAGATACGGAAGTTAGATTTGGAGTAGTTCATCAAGATGCATCTAAAGATATGTTCATTTCAGTCTGCTACTACGATTTGGGATCCTTCCTTTTTCAGTATATCCTACGAGAACCTATTCAAGCAATACATGACGGCTTGCACAATGCACGACTCTTGTTCATGAGTTGCCACTGGATCTTATTGCAACTTTTAAATACGAGAGAGGTATTTGTTACATTTAACGCTGCAGCATCTTCGGAAGTCGCATAGGTATTTGCCAATCTTATCCTTATTGATCCACCTTCACAAGGGAAGGATACTAGATTAAAGTGCAGTTTTCATATGGTTACCCTCTGATCTAAAGGATTGGCGGCTGGAGGCGGGGGTGCTTGGGCTCCCCCTCTTTCGTGGCGTGCTCTCTGATCACTTGCCCATCACGAGAGCGGGAAGGACATAGCTTCAATCACTTAGCAGCACGATCGCGAGAGAGGTGCAGAGCCAGGCGAGGCGGCCGCAAGGACGTGATTCCCACCCACCAGCCGCCAATCCTGTTGAATCAGAGGGTGCACTATCTTATAGAGCATGAAACGGTGATTACAAATCTGCTTTCGGTATTTGCAAAGCGGGAAGAGAGTTACGAGAATTTTTGAGGCTAAAATTTCAAGGTTTTAGCTAAGATGAAAACGAGTGTTGAGGTCTTTCCGGCGCTTTAATAGAGTGATGACTAACATGAGTTTATTTGACTAAAAGTAATGACTGCATGAAGCGCCGTGTCAGTAGTCGTGACCCCATTCAAACTTGTAGACTACAATTCCGAATGATTTAAATGTAGCTGCGAGCTAGCATTTCTGCATCAAAGAATTCCAATAACTTCCTTCCGAAGCGCTTTGCAGATAACAAGCAGATTCGGAATCAGCGCACATACTGTATGAGAACAGATTATATTTTCTATGGAAACGCCACTTCGACCAAGTATCCTTCCCTTGTTAGACGCAGTCTATTTTTCGTATCTTAGTTCCAGATGTATAAGCTGCACTCTATTTGCTTTGATTGAGAGCAACCGCGGGCCACCCCCTCATGTGTCTTGTCCACACTCAGCTAAGGGGCCCAAATTGAAGGATCTTTCAAGAAAAGCTTTTGCGCTCTGTTTTAGTGCGAAAGTTTCATGTATAAAATTGAAAGTGGAGTAGTCACGTGCAAAAATTAGAATATTACTCATTCTTAAAAATCGAACTTGATCGATTTCATGATTCCCAGTCACGGTGACTCAGCGATCCTCTTCTTATATACCTTGAAGTGAGTTGTATCATGTAACTATGATTTTTTAGAATAGAGACGGATGTAGCGGCTGTGGTATCATCAAAAATCTCTATGCAAATGATTATCCATCAAGAATAATACCTCCTTTTTACGAGGCAAGCTTCGACAACATTAAACCGTTTATACACTCCTCAACCGGTGATAAATCCCATAGCATAATAATGTAATCGATTTCGGGACTTTTCAATATCATTCTGCATACGAGATATTCATACGGGTTGCCAATGCTGATATCTGGTAGTCTGGACCATACTAGCGATTGTGTCCAGCTCTATAAAAATCCCGTGTATGCTCGGTCTTTCTGATGGTCTGGAGTTCATGCATTTGCGTATCACGGCTTCGACCTTAGCCAAAAGCTCAAAGTTAGGATCTGCAAAAGAAGAAATTATGAGTCTATACTAGCGTACTCATAAAAAGGCACCTTTTGGCGACGGTCTATTTCCCGCGTCCAAAACTGCGCGCAGCACTATTCCCATGCTGTATACGCCAGCTTCGGGAGTCAATATACGCGTCCAGGTCACTTCAGGAGCCATTCGTGTGAAGTCGCCGCTATCGACAGGACGCATTTGACTGTAAATTATTATCACAGCATATAACACAGCAAAACCGAGCCTCATACGTCTCGCACATTCACTTTGGTTGTGCCCATCATAGGCCTCCTCTCACTACCCTACTCGACTTAAGTTTCAGAACACTTTATAGAAGTTTTACGGCTTATGCTGAGTTTCTAACGGAACGCAGCATATGCCGCGACATATGGTTCAAATTTGGATGGACTGTAGGCAAGATGAGTTTTTTCCCATGATATCGAAGAGGTATTAGACAGAAGAAGAAGCTAACTAAAATCCATACAAAAAATAAATGGGAGCTACCTTGTTTCGCCAAAGCCTCATTCGCTGTCTATAATAAAAACAAATCTATCTACAATCGTCAATAGAAGGAAGTTTTCTTGTCAAAGGGCTGAGTCAGCAATAATTCCTGATTGGCAACATCCTCGCATTTAGACATTACTGATTTGAACAGTCAATTTGAGAAGGCTATTTGATCCAAATTTTCTGCAGTCACGTGGTATTCAGAAATGATGACTACGGCTTGGTTCAAATTCCGCAACTGCATGGTTTTAGGGATGTCCTTTACCGTTTTTACCCCGTGACTGCGCAGCAGAAGTGTTGATTGCTACTAACTCAAACTTCGGCTGTGGTTTTTGTTGTATCTGTATTCCGAGCAAGCTACAAAAAATTTATAATTCTTACTCGACAGGAGTGAGATCTCTTCCCTCAGCAAAAACGATCTGAATCTGCCCACACGTCATGGCATCCTAGAATTTCTAATTTTGATTTTGGGCAAGAAACTGAAAATTTTTGGTTTATATTGACGACGTTTTGGCTCGTTTCATAAGTCACAGCACATTACCAAAGTATAGTATGGAGCTTAATAATAGAACTACGCTACAAAAAGTAATTTGTTCAATTTTTCCTCTTTTCTGCAAGAAAATAGTACATTTCAAGTTTTCAACATTTTTTGCCTTAAAAAACTTGCCTACAGATCAAAGTGTTTATTTGAATCTTCCCTTTAAATATCTTACCACATAGTGGACAAAGAAATTTTCTAGTTTCACTGCGCCGCAGTAGATGTCTGCATTGAGCAGTCCTGACATGACACTTGCCAGGGCTCTGCATAACTGAAATTTTTAGAATTTCGACAAAGTGGATGCTTAAATGCACGTTCAGACCTTGATTTTCACCCCGCAGTCCATTTTCTCACCGTTTTCTTCCATGAATCTTGCAAAGTCACATCCCGGTTTGTTGCTAAATTATATGTCTACCAAATCTACTTACGGGATTCAACAATGATTACTCATAGATGATGCCTCCGTTGCCGCTTTTGATAAGTCCAATAATGATTCTAACGGGCAGATGCAACTCTTTGGCAAGGTAGCTCACTCTCAACTCCTTAGTAAAAACAGTTTTGATGTCAAGAAAACCACCTTTTTGATTTGAAAACAGGCAGTCAAACTTGTGGTCGCACTTTCTTATTGAGAAATACTCACGACCCGGCACGAAGGTAGCAAATAACAAGCTATGAATTTTTTGAGTACAAAAAACAAGAGAATTTAAGTAGATACACGTTTAGGTCATACCCACCCCAAAACCATCTCCTCATTCTAACAAGCTTCTTATGACTGACATGCTCGAACACAACATCGCTCAAGACACGTTATCGAAATCAAGCTTTGCACGATACAGCAGACTATTGATAGATGACTATGGTTTGTTTCTCTAAAACGTTCCCGGAGTTTTCATGTCAGCGCGCCTTTCGATTCGTTTTTACACGTTACTTTGAGAAAATGCGTTGAATTTGCTGAGGATAACATCTTGAAAGGAATTGAAAGGCAGCCACTGACGTGGTACTTCAGGAAACATTTTTGGAACGGACGGTCATGCTACATGATAGAGGCGTGCCAACTTTTGGGTGAAAGCTTCCGGCTAGAAAAAATTTGAAAATAAGTTTGCAAAGTACAGGTAACGGTACTGCTCCAAATTTGTTGCGAAGTTGCGCACAGAGCGCTTGAAATTATAGGAAACTTTTTTGGATTAAGAGCGTGCGCAACTTTCTTCCAAGAGTGGCAATTCCTGCCCTATTGTCATCCTCAGGCTGGCAAACTTTCAGTTTACAAAATCTTTTCATAATTTCACTCTGTTCTAACTCCAAGGTGTACTATAAAGAAACAATTTGGTTTCAAAGTCCTTCTCTCGCTTTTGTCAGGATTTGCAGTGGCAATGATGCCGTTCAAGGAGGAAAGCACGCTGCAATTGAATGACTCACGCAGTTGGCATTTAGTGGGATAGTCTAACTCAAAATCAGCGAAGGGTTGAGCCAGACTGCGCGGCGTACGCGACGTACGCAGCGTACGCCGCGTATGCTCCTATGATGAAATATACCGAGCGTACGCTGCGTACGCCGCGTACGCCGCTTCCGCGCGAAGTCTGGCTCAACCCGAAGGGAGAGTTAAGGGCGGGCACTCAGACAATAGCTCAGACGAGTGGCGGGCCTTCACAGCTTGCCGGGCGGGCGGCAATCCTTAAATCGCGGGCGTGGCCTTGCTTCCGACGAGCGGCGTGCCTTCGCTAATGAGCCTGCGAGCGAGGGACCTTGCTCCAACCAGCGGCGGCCTACCTGGAATGGGCGGCGTTCGATCATTATCATACTATTTATCCCACATCATTTTAAAATTCTCTCATTGTTGTCTTATTCATTTTGCCAATGATGTTTCCATGATTTGGTGACTAAAGAATTATAAGCTAGCCCTTGCCATCACGATAAAATAGACGTATCTCTCCATTCATTACGTCTAGAAATGGAAAACGAAGGTAGTTGCGGAGTTTCAACTAGTGAGTTACGGAGTAAAACAAAAAGTGAGTTCTATACGATAGCGCAAGTTCCTGCCATCAGCTTCACGAAGCCTGCCTTCTAAAAATCGTTCGACAACAAGAGGCGTGGTGTTTCAAGTTTCAGAGGTGACAAGTGAAGATGAAGGACGAGGTCTGAAGTTTTTTTTTGATCTTAGTAAACAGTGAGCGCATAAGAATGTTTCAGGATACATGTTGTTTCAGGATACATGTTTATGAGGGTGTCTGCACAGACCGTCAGTTATTCAACTGAAAATTGCCCGAGTTGTATACGCATATGCCACATCTTCTTCATAGCTCGCTTTCATGAGAATTCAGGAATATAACATACTAGCTGCGGTCCCCGGTCCCGCCCGGGCCGATAGTCCAGAATGGCCCAGCATAGGGTGTGCTCCAAGATGTATACTTACCAGTCCTCCACTTTCTTCAGTTCACATCTTCTGTGACTCTCCTGCTTCACCTCCTTGTCAGTTCCAGCGCTCGTGTAGTATCCGTGGTGAATAGTCTTCTTTCTTGACCTGCTCGCTTCATGACACCGCATGCTCCTCACCGCAAAATGTAAATGATCTCTACCACCCCTTACTACTTAAGTTGGAGAAATGAATGGTATAGCCTTCATTTCCTAGATTTTAGTAAACAAAATCAATAAATCGATAGAAGGACTCAGCGAATTGTCGAAAAAAGTAGCCTATCTGATGCGCCGTGTCTCATTTATAGGGAAACAAAATTCAGCCTCTTTGGTTCACATACAAAGGAGTCTATAAGCCACAAACATCCTAACAAACACGGTACAGTGTTTGAGTTTTATATATCAATACTTATATAATATTTGGATAAGCACTTTTTTATGACCGGCCTGAAATGGTAGAAAGAATCAAAGAATTTGAACGAAACTTTGCACACATGAAATTTTGGGTGAGGCGGGTGTCACTAAGCTTTTTCAGCAAAAATCGTTAAGTGGCGTTATCGATTTATCGATTTTCAATACTTATATAATATTTGGATAAGCACTTTTTTTATGACCGGCCTGAAATGGTTGAAAGAATCAAAGAATTTGAACGAAACTTTGCACACATGAAATTCTGGGTGAGGCGGGGTCACTAAGCTTTTTCAGCAAAAATCGTTAAGTGGCGTTATCGATTTATCGATTTTCAATACTTATATAATATTTGGATAAGCACTTTTTTTATGACCGGCCTGAAATGGTTGAAAGAATCAAAGAATTTGAACGAAACTTTGCATACATGAAATTTTGGGTGAGGCGGGTGTCACTAAGCTTTTTCAGCAAAAATCGTTAAGTGGCGTTATCGATTTATCGATTTTCAATACTTATATAATATTTGGATAAGCACTTTTTTTATGACCGGCCTGAAATGGTTGAAAGAATCAAAGAATTTGAACGAAACTTTGCACACATGAAATTCTAGGTGAGGCGGGGTCACTAAGCTTTTTCAGCAAAAATCGTTAAGTGGCGTTATCGATTTATCGATTTTCAATACTTATATAATATTTGGATAAGCACTTTTTTCATGACCGGCCTGAAATGGTTGAAAGAATCAAAGAATTTGAACGAAACTTTGCACACATGAAATTCTGGGTGAGGCGGGGTCACTAAGCTTTTTCAGCAAAAATCGCCAAGTGGCGTTATCGATTTATCGATTTTTTGCGTTGTTTGCCTAGCGAATTCGTTATGACCGGCCTAAAATGTTAGAAAACTTCATCAAATTCAACGAAACTTTGCATACATGAACTTCAGGGTGGGGCGGGTGTCACTAAGCTTTTTCACCGAAAATCGCCGACTGGCGTTATCGATTTGTCGATTTTTTGCGTTGTTTGCCTAGCAATTTCGTTACGACCGGCCTAAGATGTTAGAAAACTTCATCAAATTCAAACGAAACTTTGCACACATGAACTTCGGGGTGGGGCCGGTGTCACTCAGCTTTTTCACCATGTGGGGGTTACCGATTTATCGAATTTTGGGTTTCAATTTCTGTTGAGCTGAAAACTGACAGGAAGGGATAGCTAAGCATGGTCAATTCGAATAAAATATCTACAACTTTAACCACTAAACTTTTTTGACCTTTTTTCTCAATTTTTTTGTATCACATTCTGGAGGCTAGCTCATATTTAACTAAGCATTGACATTTCGCAACGGGTGTCGTCGACTGCATAGCTCATCTACAAAATCAAAATAGTTCATCCGCGAGATCAAATATGACCACCAAATCAAAATACCCTATCCCGGCCTTACGGTTCATTCATACCATGCCTTCATCGGTCGTACCTCCTTCGACTTTTACACCCGAAACATGGCGCCGACATTGACCCTTAGCAATGGACTCTCCACCTCCACACCTCAGTCGCAGGTGCATATCGCCGAATCCGAGCCCGTACTATAAGGCGCACTTCTGAAGCCAGCGTAGCCGTCTTCGTCGTAGCCGAGAATTACAGAGGCACGAGAACGTCGTCTTGCCTCAATGCGTGAACGTCATCTTCGTCGACGATAACAGGAAGCACAGCTTAACAGACGCCTTCAGGAGACACTGGATCAGTCCAGGCATGGTGCGAGCCCAGAACGGGTTGGCCAACGACGACACGAGCCAATCGACGAGAACACAGCACAAACGATCTTTGCGCTTGACTCGCGGCAACAAGTAATGTTTGAACTGGCACCTACCTCCACCCCCATTCCGCAGATGCACAATGCGCAGAGAACTCGAGCACGTGGCACAATTCGGAGCTCCATAACTGCACATAACCGTCTCCACCATGGCCAGGAAGCACCAGAGGCCCAAGAAGAGATTGCTCCGGTGCACGTAAGTTACCTTCATTGTCTCCAGCACTACCACTTTTCAAAAAGATATAGATTAGATATATAGATTAGATTTAGAGATTTGATTTACCCCTTTTTTATGTTCGTTCACGATGGATAGAAAAAGGATCATAGGATTTAAGGCAGATTTGGCAGACGTAATGCATGGTGTACGCAGTTGTTAATAAGCCATTTTGTTCGATACACACGGTTTGTTGCTATCGATTTATGGATTTTTGCACTTTTTGCCTAAAGATTATCTTTGCTTGAAAACGATAGAAGGAGTTATGGAATATAGACCAAATTTGCCAGGCATAACGCATGGGTGAAATGTGTTTTAATGAGCCCGTTTTGTCCAACTATAACGATCGACCCTTTCGGTTTACTGATTTTTCGCAGTCCGCCTAATATTCATTGCTTAGCGTTAATTCGAAATAAACTGACAAAGCCGAAATTGCCCACGGTAATCCTTTCTGCGCCGGTTGTAAACGAAGTAGTTCGTGCAAAATGGCAAATTTTCTGCATTTCACTTTCAATAAAGAACAAAACGAAAGATTCAGCGGAAGCGAAGCTGCGTGTACCAGCCGAACCTGCCGCGTAGTGGCAGAGGGCGGCTGGTATATAGATATTTTGGTCTTCACCTAGAAGATTTCCGCTACATTGTGTGACCTTCACCAAACTAAAAGCAAATTGGCATCAAGTATCACTGTCTTCTTTCATGTATGGTGACGTTGTGTCACGTCATAATCTGCGCTGCAATTATTGTTCACCACAAATGGATGGTTTTTGCTTACATTCTTTGCTAATAAGTTGAGAGCATCACAGTGTGTGTTTTAGCAAAAGCAAGCGCGGATTATTAGTGCAGTGGCAACATGCTATCAGATCCGTGTAGTGCTGTAGATAGCGGGTGGTGGCTCAGTTCTGCCGGGCAAGCGGCGAATGCATATTAGTTGCCCGCTAGAGGTACTCCGCTCGCCCGCTTTATTCTATGGCGGGCCGGTGGCGTGACTTTAGAGGACGGACGGCAAGAGGCTTGATCGCTCGCTTGGTAGAGGCATTGCGCTCGTCCGAATTGATGTCTGAGCAAACATCAAGCAATTTCATCGCCTCGCGACTCACCCAACAAGACAACTGCCACGAGTTCATTGCATGCAGATCATCTTGCATTTCGGTTGTGAGAGTTTCGACATGACTAGTCGTGACTAACTAGCACAACCAAAACGCAAGATGACTAGCAGTGACTCCAATGAATACGTACCAGTTGTTTTGTTGGGAGAATCGCGAAGCATGCAATCGCGTGATGTATGCCCGGCCCTTTACCAGGTATGCATTTGCCACGCTCGTGTCCGGCCCTGGTAATACCACATTTCAGCAAACTTACATCGTACATATGCATTTTCCAGTTTGCATCGCTCAACCTCTTGTTTTCCTTCAATACAGCATCGGTAAACTCATTGTCAATCAACAATGTGACTCGACTGTACTGGAAAAAACACGCTTTTCCCAATCTTTTCTTTCCTAATCAAGTGACCCCAGCAGAATGTTACACTGGCCCATCTGCAAACTAACAATTGATTCTTTAGCAAAGTTTTGTGTCAAAACGGTACATTTTAGTGTTGCGATATCTATCAAAGATTTAGCGTAGTCCCTTATTTATTTAAAATTAGTTCATTACTTCAAGACTAAACTCACCTTAAAATCCATATCTTCGAAAGCAATTCTTTTGGTGATGATGCAACTTTCATCATAAATGCGAAAGCTTGGAAGAATATCTTTTGTAACCAGACAGCGAGGATAAACACGACAGCATAAAACACCAGATAAAACGTCGAGCTAAACGAAACTAAAATACTATGATGCACGCTAAGAAACAAATACGCTTTTATCATTAAGCAAGAAAGAGAAATACACACCGACGAGTCTCTGATGTTATAGATCAATTCGCCTATCGTTGCACCCGTTGCAAAAAGCATTCCGCGTATACGATATCCCTTCCTGAATTATTTTCCATGGCGTAAATATGCATCGATTGCAAATGTTGCAATTATTGCAAGGAGTCGGTTTAATCATTCAGAAGTTATTTCAATTTGGACACAACAAGGGCTCCAAGCGCGTAGCGTATTCGTTATGATTGAACGTGCATCCTCGTCTGATAGGCGCTACACTAAGTGACTATTTTGTTCAGCTGCAAAAGGCGCGCAGAATTAACGTTAAATCTGCGCGGGACCTGCAGCTGAAGCAGTTCTTACAGCAGCAGACACTATACAGCAGACATTAATTCTGCGCGCCTTTTGCAGCTGAACAAAATAGTCGCTTAGTCTGGGGCCTACCTCTCACCCATTACTTTTGTCGATTCTACACGGCTAATAATTCCTTGGCGCAACTCGCTTAGCAATTCCTCAATTTGGGAAAGTAATGCAATAGGTGTGGTGGATTGTGGCTAGCGTCTATAGCTCGACATAGCTCTTTTTGCTTTCCGGGTTAAGGATTACCATGCAGCTAAAGAAGTGCATTGGTTCTGAGGGTGTGAAGAGTGAGCAAAAAGGGGCAAAAGCATCTTTGAATTATCATTTCACCACTATAAATCTACTGAGCACTGATCACCGTTGAAAGTCATAGGTAATATAATAAGGAAGGTGCAATGCTTGGTAGTGTGGCAAAGTGTTACTTCTATACTTTTGCATACTCACTTATTCTACATGAAGTGCAAATTTTTTGGCCACATGGATAAGCACCATTTCGAAAGTGAATCATGGAACCTTTGTGTTTGCCAAGCCTACCTTATTCTTTCTAGCGTCAAATGGAATGTCTTCTGTTCATCAGATCTGATCGAGAAAACATAGCTGCCAAGAGCATTTGTCGAAATACAGAAATCACCTAAAATTAGTTGCACTGCAGAATATAAACGATAAACTTCGTTGCTGCAGTAAGAGTACAATCTTGTAAATTTGTTGAATGCTGTAGTTGTACCAATACGGACTTTGATACGGCTCAAAAGATCGCAGACATTGAAAACTGAGTAAACAAATTTGCTCCTCAAAAACATTATCGGGAAGCAAACTTGGAGTGAAAAATCGCTGCACAACTTTTCTTTAATTTGTCATAAACAGTGTGAAGACGTGTTCGTGCAAGCTACGCGTATCACCACTGATACTTTTTGCAACGAAGGCGAAATTAATGAGCACTTTATGTGCTGTTGGCATTAGATTGATCATATGTCTCGAAAATAGTTTAAATATTTAGTCTAAGGCACATTATCATAAAAATATATTTTATCCCTGAGCTAATTTTATACCTATAAAAGGCAAGCAGATAGGGGTGTGCAACGACAACTATAAAGAAACAGAAGTTGGTAACAGCTATTGTAAAAGAGTCACAGAAAAACAGGAAAAAACAAAAAAAAATTTGCGGAACTTATAAAACAGCCAGTTGATGCTTTAGCGATTCTATGCTCAAATAAAGTTGAAAAGTACAAAAGCGCGCCGGCATTTTCCTACACAAACCAAACGTGGGTCGTACCTGCTTTCTGTAAGATGAATGATATGAAATCCGACGGAATCTCTCCAAGGCAAACTTTTTCAACGTTCATCTAAATCAACGATAGAGTTATTGTGATGAGTTGCCACGTTCTTGCGCTATCATGCGCCCTTGTATCACCCCATTTGCTCTGCTTAAATCAAGAGGAAACAGAAAGCATTTTTCCTATTGATAGTGATAGAGTCGTAACTTACGATGTAAACTAGTTTCGACGCTTATTGCAAAGTGAGTGGTTAGCAACTCCAAGAATTGAATTGATTGATCAACTTTCAGGGTCATCACGGAATCATATCTGCATTTCTTACAGAATGATGCGCTAAGCCCATGTGATGAGTGGACTCTCTTCAAGTTCAGAAAAAATCGTAGACATAGTCCCCTTAATAAATCATATCTCTACGGAATTACGTCATTTGATATGGGGTTGCTAAATTCTACCCCTCATCGTGAGCAGCAGAAAAGAATCCTTCTCTTTGTTCATTTTCTGCGGCTTCAATAAATAAATTTCGACATCCTTCGATCTTTTGGAAGTCTCGACACTAACAAACTTTTGCCTCATATCTTTACTGCATGTTAAATATGTAGTAAAGAAGCAAATTTTGTTGACAATGTAAGCTAAATCCAACGCAATTGACGCACAATTCAGCGATTTCCTTTGAGGTTCTTAAAACTGACAGCATGTTTCGCAGCGTGAATATGGCCAGGATGCAAAGGTCCTAAGTTCTAAAAAGACTCACAATGAGAAGCGCACTTTAGAACGGATGCCCTTCCAGAGCTAAGCTGGATTCAAGTAAAAGCAGTTCCAAATTTATCCCCACAAATTTTATCATCGACTTCGAACAACTCGAAAATTTGCATCTTAATCTTTTTTGTCTCTGCACTTCATTAGCTTAAGCATGTTTTAATGCCCTTTTCTTCAAAGTCTGTTAACAACCGTTTCGTCTCAGCTCTTCCAATTTCAATTTTCTCTTGCTGCATTACTATTTTGGCTATGATGCAGACAACTTCTGTACTTAACAATTCCTTGTTATTAGCTGTAACATCAAAAATTAGTATCCTAGTTACTCCCACGTAACAGCACCAATGTATTCACTATCCAAACGGTAGTGCCAGAGATCGTATACGGTAAGAGTGTTGTACAGCTCCACAATCGCACTCACTCGCTTTACTTCGCATATACCCATTTTGGTCCCCCTGGTTGATCTATCAAAGATTGAAGGTAAAGTATGCACAATCATTAGATCTCAGGCGTAACCTTGTGAAATTTCAGTCGCCACACCATTGAGGGGTGTGATATTTTTGGCTTGGAATGCGCTTACGGCGAGCTTCGAACAGCTGAGGTGTCGTCGAATCCGGTGGTTACCGTAATCGCATGGGCCATAGAGCAGCCTCCAAGCTTCATTTTTGTTCAAAGCAACTGCCATGTTTTGAGGATGCTCCACATTAAGGTTGAATTCTAGAAGAAATGCAGAATTCCTTACCTTCTGACCAACCTACCTTTCAACCATATCTGCCTTATGGGAGCCGAGATCCGGTACGCGGCAAACGTTGAGGGACTCGTTAGCAGTGGAGCGCGCCAGCGCAATCATTGGCCGTGGTTGGCAAGACAGCTGATAATGGCCCAGTTTTCACATGTTTTTATTCTCTAACATCGTTTTTGATGTTTCTTAGTCGATAAAGTCTCACTCGTCATTTTTAAGCCAAATTGGGGCGTGATAACTTTTGGTTTGCATCCGTTGAGTCGAAGTGTAATTTGTATTCTCGAAATAATGCCATTTTTCAATCCTCGCTCCCAATTTTCCTTGATTTCACTATCTAATGCTGCCCAATAATTACTTCTCATCCTTTGCTGTTCTGATGTTGACGAATTACTCCTCATACATTTACAATATGGGTTTGTGGCAGCTCTTTTTTGTTCTAAATATCGCTTCGAATTTCATGCTTTCTTTCGATTGTTATATTCTCTAAATGATATTTTCAGTATGCTCTAATGCGTAGCTCTTGCACGTAGCTCTCTAGCAAGTGTTCTTGCAAACGTGTTTTCTTTGTGGCAAAAGGGATCCGCCTGAGGATGGGGAAAATATTGTACTATGGCTTAGTTGCTCCAATACAGGAACTTGTAAAGCATGGGCCCATATGTCATGCACAAGCGAGGGACAGCTTTGCACGATCTGCGGTAACGGTACGTGGCAGCTAGAGGCAGTTTGATTTGATTTTTTTCGCTCTTACTTCTTTTTTAATTTGTCGAACTGTTCATCTGAATCATGTTTTATCATTTCTTTGCACAGTCTTGCTTATTATTTTTTGACTGTGCTTAGCACTTTTTCGCTCCTCGCACATGCTTATTCTGCTTCACTTAGTGCATTTTCTCTGGTGTTACCAATCCGTGTTCAACATTTTGGTCAAAACTACCTTGATATCCTTGATTTGCTCGATTACTAATAATAATTAATAATAATAATACTTAATAATAATAATAATAATAATAATAATAATAATAATAATAATTAATAATAATTAACAATAATTAATAATAATTAATAATAATCAATAATAATAATATAATAATGATTAATAATAATAATCTATATATATATAAAACTCAAAAATTGTCAGTTTGGAGGGTATGTGCGTTATAGAAACGCGCGCCGCTCAACCGATTCAGCTAAAACTTTGCATACATATGTTTTCGACCCTTGCGCAGATGATAGGCTACTTTTTGCGGCGATTCGTTGGGTCCTTCTATCGATTTATTGATTTGTTTACATTTTCCTAAGGAATTGAAGGGTTGTCATGTACAATCAAGCATTTTCCATACTCATGTAAAGGAGGGCGGTGAAGCTCATTTTCACCTCAGCATCACGAGGATGCGGTTTCCAAGCGGATGTCCCAGGATAAGTCACCCATACCATATAGGGCGGGAGGGGGCTCGCAGTGCGGTCAACCATGGCCCGGGCTGGACCGGGAAAGCCAACTAGTACTAATTAATAATTAAAACCGGTTCAACATGTACAAAGATAATGAAGTCTTATGACATTGTCATAGGTACTGCATCTCTCACTGCATCCTTCTCAAATTGTATTGGTTCGGTGCTTCGTGTTTTTTGTGCGTAGCTATTGTAACTGCTCTTGAAAATCATTGTGCCCATATTCTGAAGCTCTCGAAGGTGCTCTCTTTGCTTGTGATCGTTCTAGGAAGTGCTTAATCAATGAATTATCCTTACCGTTTCGCGTCACAGTTGTAGGATATCCCTAAAAGAGAGCTTTTTCAATCAGAGGGCTGGTTATTTGTGATTGCTCTCAAAATTCTTTCTGTTCCATATTTTCGGTTTCTCATTAATGATTTTCCTTTGTTTGTGATTGTTGTGGAGGTGCTTGGTTAATAAACTCTAACGAGTCTGCTTCGATTCACAGATGTAAGGTTTATCCCGTTTATCACCAAAAAAGAGCTTAGTTGACAATAAAAAAGTGAATTGTTCAACTAGTGGCATTTGGGCGCTATTCCACATTAGGTGACCCAAAAAATGAAAACGGGGTTACTTTGCACGCTGATCATTACTTATAATAACGGGCTAAGGATGTTTACGTGACTTTGTGTGTGTGTCTGAGAGTGTGTCTGTTACGAAATTCGTAGAGCGTGTTCCAGCCAACCTCTTGGGCTCAAATTTTGCACAGTGCATGCTACCCGCATGAAACTCCAACATGCAAAAGAACGAGCAGATTCGTTGAGTGGATCCCTCAGAAACTGCGTGTCAAACGGATCCACTTTGCGTTTGGGCCGCAAAATTGGGTCCGTAATTCCACTTTTTTCAGAGTCGTGGATGTTTGTGCCAAGTAAATGTGCAAGCCATGAACTTAGGCTCAAAAAAGCGATCGAAAGTCCATTAATTTACAAAAACGGCGCCAAAAAGTATTGGTTGCGTAAATGGTCAATTTGACAAGGTTTTACCAGACCATTTGACTAGATTTTTGCACAGAGATGTAGCTCAGGGTGACTGCTGTTCTTATAGCAACTGTAAAGACCATGGAAAAATCAAAAATCTATGAAAATTTGCATTTGTTTTCCTGCAAAAAGTCTCATCCACGCGAAATCACCGATTTCACATAAAAAAGCTTTCGGAATGAGTAATTGTTTACATTTTGTTCGTGATAGTCGGCATTGCTCGGTGAGTTCCAATGCCATCATTATGCGAGAATGAGTATCATGAGGCCTAGATAGTAGAGCAGTGCGAGCCTCTGCGAAGCAGAGGTGACGCACTGGTGACTTATATATAGCGCTAAACGTTTGTCTTTTTGTGCGTGTGTGTCTATGTGTTTGTCTGTCTGTCACGAAATTCATAGAGGCAGCTGCAGCCAAGCTATCGAGCTACAACTTTGCATAACATACCCTACCAGCATGTGGACCCACCATGCGCAAGGACGAGCCGGTTTGATAAGCGGGTTCCGCAAAAATTGCGCCTTAAACGGGTCCACCTTCTTTTGGCGCGTAAAACTAGGTTACAAATTCAACTTTTCGCAAAGTCCTGATTTGCCTGACAAGCAAATCTGCGCTCCAAGAATTCTAGCTCAAAAAGTGCCCAAAAAATTTGCTTTTCCGCGAAAACAGCGCCAAAAAGTAGTGATCGCGTAGAGAGTCGATTTGACAAGGTTTTACCCAAATATCTGAAAAGATTTTTGCATGGAAATGTAGCCCAAAATGACTATTATCTTCACAACAATTACCAAGCCAAAATAAATTCAATAATCTGTTCGAATTCCTATTTAGTCCTTGGCAAAAAAGTTTTCTTTCTCAAAATTACCGATCTAACATGGAGATGCTTCAAGAATGAACAGTTGTTTACGATTCATTTATGATGTACAGCTTCGCGCGGTGAGTTTTAAAGTCATCATTTTGGGAGCATGAATAAGGCATACGGATAACAGAGCCAGTGCGAACCTCCGCGAAGCGGAGGTGACGCACTGGTTACGAATATCGCAATTATTTCGCACGGTAGTGAAATCTGGTGGAGTTACGGTAGATTACGATAGGATGTCAAAATCACCGATTTGCCCTAAACTTCATCTGGGTTATTTGGTAAGCTGGACATGAGTATCATATTCATTTCGTAAGGTAGGCCATTTTCGGGTTACGGTGGGTGTACGGCAAATGCCTAAAAATCCCGAATTTACTCAAAACTTCGCCTGAAGGAATTTATAAGCATGCTGCAAATATAAAGCCCGTTCGCTGGAACAACGAAAGCTATTGTAAGGCTATAGTGCGTGGAAGAGCAATCTTTTCGTTCTTGAACCAAATTTAGGTCCCAAAAATCTACGAAAAGGCTTTATCCTGCGAGACGAGTACGGTATACGGGATCAGCACGGCAAAAAGGGCACTCTATTCGTATCAGCGTGAAGAAACCTTTTAGGCAAATTTGAGCAATAGCCCATTTACCGTACATCCATCGTAGCCCGAGAAAATGACGCTACCGTGCGAAATCACTATGGCTTTCATGTTTAGCGTGCCAAATAACCACCCTAAACGAAGTTTGGTGCAAATCCGTGATTTTGACCCCCCCCCCACCGTGATCCTACCGTAGCACTACCAGATGGCGCTACGGTGCGGAACAAGTATGATGTTCGTAATCAGCGTGCAGAATAACCCCTCTAGACGAAGTTTCAGCAAAATCCGCTTCTTTCGTCTCTTGGATCAACTAATTTGCCGGCTGTTGACTCAACTGTTTCATTGGTTTCGCGTTATGGATTATGGAACATCAGCGAATCAGTTTCCTAATAAAGAGGTGGTCGAAAATGGGCCAACATCAGCTGTCTTGCTAATTACAGCCAGTGATTGCGCTGGCGCGCTCCACGGCTAACGAGCCCTCAACGTTTGCCGCGTATCAGATCTCATGGGAGCCTGCAAACCAGTTACGAAATCTGCGAAAAAATCGCAAACCTCCTTCCACAGAATTCTTGGAAAACATTTGTGTATGTGCCCATACAATAAATGAGTCCCATTCAAAAGTTAATTTAGTTTGAACATTTGAGCGACAAATCCTATGAGCTTGCTGATGGATAAAGGTTTTTCTTTGTCTTTTCGCTAGTGCCTTTGCGGAGATAGAATTTTACCTTACCCAATGTCAAAGCTATGTTCATTGAGTATTCCAGTGTGATTAATCTAGACTGGGAACAAAACTCACAGTGAGAAGATCTGCGTCGAGCTCAGCATCAGCATCTTCAGTTTTGAGAGGCTTAATTCCCACAGCAGCTAGCATCATTTTGAAACGAAAAATGAATCGTACTGCATTTGTGCTTTGATTTTCTCTGATAAACTGGCAATATACTGTTTTTACAAGTCTTTCATAGAGCTTTTTCAAAAATATGATTTCTAGGCTGTCCTATGCTGTGATCCAGCATTCAATAATCACTTATTTAACATCCAGCCCGGTAAAGTATACGCAAATATGCAAACGACAAGTTCGTAACCGCCCCATTCTGGTTTATGTAATTTCAAATCTAGATCATTTATTTCAATAAGAGTTTAACAGAAAGAACTCTAGTTACACCAACAACATACGAACCAACGATACATTAAATACATTCAAAAAGAAAATAAAGATCTCTCAAGTGCTGGATAATTGGGAAGATTGCTAAGGCACCATACCATTTGCTATAGAAGAGGCAGGCGCTGGTTGGGGTTTACATTACACCAACAAGGCAACCAAAAACCGGAAAGAAGGGAACAGAAGGCAACAATATAAGTGCATAATCTAAATATCTAGGTTTGATTTGGTTTGCTAAATCTCCCCTTATAGAGAGAGGTTTTTGCATAGAAAGTACCAACACAAACATTTCTATAAAGAAAAAAGATCAACTCAGTCATGATAGAGGTCTCCCATGGGCGAAAGCGGATAGAGGGAGATACGAAGGCTAAACTAAGACATGCTTGTAATTTGCTAGCGATACACTATCACGACAATTAATTGGATACATCCTGCACAGATCCAGTGAACAATAATTTCAATATATATATAAAACAATAACACAGAACGCTAGAATCTCATATCGTATTACCACAACGTCACGAAGAAAAACAATCAGATGCATAAATGGATATTTCTTGAGGATAAATTATGCTAAATTTGGATTCAATCACTTGTATTGGTGATTTGTGCACCAAGTGCTGCAGATTCCATAAGCTGCAAAAAGCAGTTTACAGATTATCAGCTATCATAATTGTTAAGCTCAAAAGCAAACCTGTTGGAAATTGAATTGGAAGGGAAATGAAAGAAGAGGATTTGCATTGGAACTGGCGTCTTCGCCTTTTGACGAATTGATCAGTAGACTGTTTGCTGAAGCTCCACCTAAACTTGAGTCACTTTAGACTGGAAACGGGTAACAACTTTGGAATGTAGAATTCTGTTCGGATTAGGTCGAAGTAAGCTGCCAAGGTTCATGCAATCATACAATCTTCCCATACAATCATGTAAAAGAGAAAAATTTGCAGTTATCATATGGATTATTGTGGTTTGCCCAATAGTGCACGTTACCAAGACTACAATAATTATTTCAATGACATTACCAGATATGGATGATAAGAATAAAGTATAATGTCTTCAAACATAAGGTACCAGGAGCTAGAGCTTGTTAGTTGTGTTTTTAGCAGAAATTTAGCAAAATCCTGAAGCTGAAATTCGTCATTTATTCACCAGCTTTCAAGCGATTGCACAATCCATCTTATCAAAAAAGTGGGGTTGTTCGATATTTACTGGTACTTCTGATAAAATGGAACTTATTAAATGAAAGTTACCGCCATTAATAGGAAATCCAAGTCGGAAAAAAGAAAACGAAGAAAATTTTTCTATTTCAGTCAATGATAGAAAAAAATCTTGCGCGATAAGCCAATTAAAACGAAATTGGGAAGGAACTTAAGTGTCCTTTAAAAATTTGAGATGCAGGATTTTGACTACGTTGGGATTGTTGATTCTTTTGCAATTCCGCGACTGTAGTAGAGATTTCAATAGATTTTGTGCCGTTTACAAACAAGAAACTTGATCTTGATTGGTAAATATGGTGTTAGTCCAAGCAGTTCAGCAGTTCTAAGGCGTGGGTAACAGATGATTTTCGAGACTTTTAACAATAAGAACCTAGGCATGGTCCAGCTTGTTCTGCAAAAATTCGCTATATTTTATTTGTTGGAAATAGCTTTTTTGATAATTTATCGATTTGTGATGAGATCAGTACCCCCCCCCCCCCCAGCTTTGTAATCAGGTTTGTGCACACACTCTCATTTTTCATTTGCTTCTCATTCCTCACCGTAGGATTCGTTAAATAATCTAGCTTTCTGTCTATCTTATACTTATCTCATACTTACCGTCGCTATTATTTGTCGATGAAGTATAGACGCAACCTTGCGGCAATTGAAATATCGTGCCGTTAGTGGAGGTATTTGCAGTGAGTCCTGGAGAAGGGAAAAGGGTGATAGTGAGAGAAGGGGAGAGTGTTTCAAGAGTCAGAGAATGCAGGGCATAAACATGCGGAGGGTAGGGTAGGTATCGAAGGTTAAAGCTACCGTACCTGAAAGCAGGAACGGTGCCAAGAATGCATTCGCGTTTGTTGCTTGTGTCGATTGCGAGTTTGGTGGCGGTTGTGGTGGGCTAGCCTGCCGCCGTTTCTGCTGCATTAGCCGATTATTTCCAGCGGCTTTCAGGGCCTCTTTTAGCGTTTGTTGAAGGGTAGCCGTCAGCTCGGCTTGTTCTGCAAATCACATAATCAAGATGTTGCAAATATTCTGCCAATCAAGTTTTTTTTTGAATTTTGACTGGATGATTTTCTCTTCAAATTCTCCAATAACTAAGTGATAATGACAATGATATGCGCGGCCGAAATTAGGCAAACAGAATGTAATTGAGGGAACCGGCTCTCGAAGCGTTGCTTCTCAAGATCGAAAAAAACGCACAACACTATCCCCTCTTTTAATGGGAAGCGCAGAAGAAGAAGATAAAGCGGAAGAGCGATTGCGTAGCTTGTTGTACAGGCAAAAAACACTACAAGTTGGTGTAGGCGGATGCGGGAATCTCGCCTTTGTTGAATTTGTTTTTCATAGCTTCTGGGTCACCATAGCGCAGTTACGTTCGTTATTTTCTGTATGCTCACCGTCTTTCTTAGTTTCGGGTTCAGGTGCCGGGGCTTCTTCCTTGGCCGGTTCAATCGGCTCTTCGCTATCGGAATCGTCTCCGCTATCATCTTGATTATAATCGTCTTCACCAAATGAGCTGAACAGTGCCGTCGGTACCATCGTGGGCAGTAACGAGACGAATTGCTGAAAATAACTGCTTATATGGGTTTACGGTTACCAGTTATACCGTATAAATGGCACAGCATGGTCCAGGCGGCCTCAACGCCTTCTGCAGGGACTTGGAAAATCACCATTTTTAGGCCAAAAATTCCCAGTTTCCTCCAGCAGGTTTTGTTCACAATTTTTAAGGAATCTTTCTGCACCCATCTTGTAAATGTGATAGATAATGGTGCTCCCTTTTTGCAATGGCGGTCCCAGAACTAGGCGAGAAGAAGGAGAAGGGAGAGCGCGACATTTTTTCAGTGAAGAAACGTGGCTTCTGGGAGCATTTCATCTTTAGGGGGGCGTATGAGACCAAATTTTTTCACAAAGCGCTTTGGAGATATTTAAAGGATAGTCATTTCCGTAATTTTTCCGCGCTCCTGTCCCGTTCCCTCCGATCGGCACTGCCTCCTGGACATATTTTTGATGACTTACAAAGCCTTTCTCTCCTAAAGTCATTGATAGCTCCCACCGTTTCTTTCATGTAATAACAAAGCTGTCTAGAAAAGCTCACTGAAGAAGGCAGTCTCAGATTGGCAGTTTGCCACATTCGCATTTCCCAATTACCGTATCCTTCCCCGAAACCAGCCCTGTCTTCGCTCTCAAGCAGAGAACGCACTTCTAAAGCATGTTTCCATTCGACTTCCACTTCTTATTCTACTGTCAGCGAGTCCGTCAATGCGAACGCCAACGTTGGCAGTCAATATTTGGCCAAATCGGAGAGCGGAACAGCAGCAGTTCGGAGAATCACACACGGCTAAAGGGGAAACACGACGGCAGGGCAGCAACTGCTGCGCCGCTGCCGCGTGCATTGTTTGCCGAATGAAAAAGGCTTCAACCTCTATTTGGGTAAACACACACACACCTCACCTCCCATCCCCAGATACTCACGTGTCTCTTCTGCCCTCACTTTGTTTGCGTCCAAGTCTCACTCTCGTCGATGTCGTCGAAGAGGCGCCCAAGTCAAGTCTTGAAAACGTTGGCGTATGTTGCCATCGTCGTTAAAGTGTGTGCACACTCTCGCTTAGTAAAGGAATTTGATGAGCAAAAAAGTGGATAGATAGAGAATCCGGAAATGCAGTGAGCAGAAACTGGTCTGATGTTGGTAATGTCTCTTAGTTTTGACATCCTTGTCAGAAACCTCACAACGTTATAGTGTCAACAATACGCTTCCAACTTATCAAAGCTTTGTGGTTTTAAGACATAGCGGTGTAAGAAACGTGAAGAAAATTCTAGAAGGATTAAACGGATGGTTCTGTCACCTCTTCATCTCTTATAATAACCAAGAATGCTCTCAGTGAAGTACTGTAAAAGCAACTATTGATGAAGTAGCCATCCTTTAAAATAAAATTACGGCCTTTCCTCCAAATTACCAATAAGGTTATGAAGCGAATCGCCGCTTGGAATACCAGACTTCAACATTAACAGGGAACAAGTTTAAAGTCTTATCAGGAACCTTTCCTTTTCAATTACTGTCTCAAAATGGCTTTTTTCTGGCTATGCACCGTAATTACACAAGTTTCGCAATTCTTCCTTGAAAAAGCATTTTACAGATAGGCACTGAATCACTAAATTCTGCCAATTTTTCCGTGATGAGTAAGAGGTGATTTTTTCGAATAAATTATATTGTAGGAAGGGGATCACAGTATACGCGACTGAATACGCAAGGTGAAAGATGTGGTATTATGTACAGGTGATCTGCCATGGCGACTCAATTACAGCTATATTGTAGCTATACCAGTACTTGATTATTAGGCACTTTGTGTCAGGTTACAGTAAGTATACAGTATGTTTTGGCATTCAGCAGTAACACTAGCTCTGAACAGATTCGCATAAAGTAGTGCTAGTTTTGAAACCATTTCTTTAAATCACTGCCGTAGTCTAGTCTTTCAGACTGTAAGTATCCTAGAATTCCGCGTGCAATGGAACCAAAGCGAGGACCTTCAGATACTGAGTGTTTCGAAAAAATAGTATTTCGTGTCTTTTCTTCACATGCGAAACGTAAGGACGAATACGTAAATTTTTGTTATACAAATATGCGACACAGAAGACCTTAGGGTAGTTCGTCTTGATAATGAGCTTACATAGAATCCAATGACCGTGTTTTTCAAATAAAGCCATGTTTCTCGAATGAATCTGTACATCGTTACCCTTAGTTGTGTCCCAAGTCAGAAAACCCCCAAGACGTTCCGCAACTTTATTGAGATCATGTGCACATCCGGCACCTCACCTATCTGCTCAACCGCGGCGATCTCCATAAAACCTACGGTGTCCACCCCCTCGCTCACCTCGCCTCATTCTCATTCATCCCCCGGTTGCGGCCCATTCCGAACAAGCCCCTAATTGCCAGCCGGCGATTGCGATCGATAGCATGTGAGAGTTTGGCTTTGACTCGTCGGGGGGAGGGGGTGGTGGAAATAAGAGGAAGAAGCGTCCTTTCGCGGCAAGTGTTCCTGAGTCGCTCTTGGCTAAACACACACAGCATCAGGCAGACGGTGCCGAGGCAGCGCGCCGCTGCTGGAGACGCCAGCGCTGGCCATGCTCAGCCGTGGGGCCCAACCGGTTCCGGAAATCGCTCACTTTCCGTAAAATCTGCGTCGAGTCAAGACGATCGAGCGCGACGACGAGGACGACGGGCGATGCAAAAACAAAAGTGCTGCCTGGAGTGTCTCGATAAAGTGCTTCTGATATAGCACTCTCAACATCGCGCCCGATCAGCTTGCTCCCCCCCCCCCCCCTCCCCTTGCGATGCTTGGGCACACTGTAAGCGATAAGATCCCTAATACCCCTAGCGAGTTCTTCTGCCCTCAAATTGATGCACTTCTGAGGACTGTTGATAAGGGTAACAAGTGCAGCGCACAACGTGGATAGGATTTAGACCCCACCAACTCTATTTATCACCCACTTACTCGCCTAAGTACTCTCCCCATGCCCTTATGACTGCCTCGGCTAGCCTATTTCATCAAGGTAACAGGCAACTGTTCGCCTTAAACCCCTCAGAAAAGAATGACCTTATTGACAGCTGACTATTTGTTTGCGCTTGATGGAGAGGATCTAGACTAGAATGTAGAAGAGCTCATGAAACATTGTCATACAACGAAGATTTCTCGAAAAAACGCAGAGAGAAATACGTATCCCTTGAAAACTAAATTTTCCTTCTCTCTCATGCTTTCCCATTCCTGATCTACCTGATCGGCTTCATTTTAATTACGCGAAGCTGATGAACAAACAGAGCGATGCAAAACTAGCCGAGTCATGCGATAAGCGGCTCCTTCCGGAATAGGTTGACAGAGCTCAAAAAGACGATATGGACTATTTTTCGAAATTGAGGCTTAGAGTGAACGTTGAATCTCAAAAGCGTTACTCGCTCGCGGGTTTTTGGTGAAACTAAGTTGACGTCATTTTCTGGTCCTGTTTCATAATGACAGAATCTAGAAACTTACGAGTGATGTGGAGATCTCATTAACAAACATCGATAAATACAGAAATCGTATGTGTTTAAGTAAAAATGTGAAGTCGAGATGGTATGCCAGAGAATTAACCCTCTTTTTGAAGTGGAGAGGAATTCAATACGTCTTAGTCTTCGAGAAGGCTTAGCCTCATTAGTATGGAATCTATCATTTAGTCTTAAATGAGTGCGATTTACTTCCTAGTTCGTTTAAGAATTTGTGAATTTTTCAGTATAATGTTACAAAATCAAAGTGTGGTAGTGAGGGAGGTCATGAAAAACTAATTGAAAAACTGATTCACTTACCAGTTGATGAAATTTAGGGTCCATATAGTCTAAGAATCGAAAAGTAAAAAAATTGTGAGCAAAGAACTGATCAGAGGAGGAGTTTCCATCTTTCTGACTTGCATTGAGATTGCTTTTGAATGACAGCAAGAATATTCAAAAACGCTCGTAGGAAAAGTCCTTTTACTTTTCTTTCTAACTACATTTTTAAATTCGTTATGGCTTCTTCAATGCTCTGCTATCTTAAAATCACAAGGACAAATTCACATTGATATGCCTATAAATGTAAAGTCTTCTTTTGGGCTGGAGCGTCAAACACCTTCTTTTTTTCCTGTAAAATCAGTATTATGGTCGATTGCACTTCTTACAGTACATAGATAGCACTTTACAAAGGTATATATCTCTTCAAGCCCATAGTTTATCCTTGAGCCCTGCCAAATGGCAATGCGTCCGTCAGCTCCCGAATACCCGGCAAGGAGTCTCGAAAACAGCTTTACACTGCCCTATTTGAGTGTAAGCGTCAGAGGAGTGAGGCCTCGCTCTCGTTTCTCCTCTCTCTGTCTATGCCCCTCAGCCCCTCAGCTATTTGGGAACACGTCAGAATTGTGTAATAGGAGGCCGGTATGGTCAGCGCATACGGCCAAAGAGACGCAGACAGAAACTCGGCCCCCGGAATAGAGATAGAGCGCGCATTTCGATGCTGCTTCGCTATTATGTGACTTGATGATATGGAGCAGATTGCCCTAGAGCTATTACAGTAAAATTTTGGCTAGGGGGGGGAGTAATTAATCTGACAATAGAATGTGGTAGCGCTTGATTATATCACATGTGAGTCCCCATGAGTCGCAATGTTATCGTTTTGAGCTCCTGGTTCGTTTCTGGACGACGTTCACGTCGCCGACAACAGCAGCTGAGAAGGTCGGCGGCCGTCATGCGTTTCAGAAACGTCTGTTAGGCGAAAAGCGGGGCCAAAACAAATTAGGTTGACGGTCGTTCAGGTTCGAACGTCTCGTGACAACTGACACTGCCAGTCTGAAACAAACGCACAAACGCAAAGTGCCATAGGTGGCTGCTGTTCGTTGTCAGCCCAGCAAAACACGGTCGTTCGCTTAGAGGAGCTGTGGATTGGAGACAACGAAAACATCTCTTGCTGAGAACGTCAACGATTTAGCAGCTGATCATGGACAGACTTCAACAAGTTGCAAATCCAATGATGATTAGAGCGGTGTTTGATTCAGGCTTACTAGATCAACCAATGAAAAGGGCTTTTGCACCAAGATATACATTGCTTTCAAACAAGTGCTATAATTCCAAAACTAGAAGCCTACACTGATACAAACACCCTTGAAGCTGAATTCTGTCATTGGCAATCATTTTACTTGTGGATAATTTAGCTCACTTGAATATGCTGTCAAAACTCTCTAGTAATAGAGAAACGATGACTTTGAAACCACGAAATCTTTACAAAAAATTATTTTCTTTTGCGTAAAAAGGTATCCTTCTACAAATAACACCGTAAAATCAGGATGAAAAGTGTGGAGCAGAACAGCGAGTATCAAATAATCAACGTTTCAAGACGGGTCTGAATTATGTTATGTTTTTTGTCAGTCTTATAAGGAAAAATTTCTTGAGTTTATAAGTAAAGTTGAATGGCGAAGGTTATGAAGTAAGTTTGGATGCCAAAATACAATCATCAACTTCATCACTACATTTCTGCATTTCTCAATTCTTTCTAATTGACTTAACTGAGAACCAGTAACAAGCTATTCTTCATGAACTGTAATGGAGTAATAAATATTATAAATCATAAAATTCATAAATTTTAATAAATTTTCATAATTATCGTATTTGCAGGGATCCAAAGAACTATTTTATACGCGCAGGACCTTAATTTTAAAAAAAGATACACTGTAATAAGTTATGGACATATGAGCTTACTGTAACTTCTCTCGTGCAATTTTCACCAAACGCATCTTAAATAAATAATGCACTTTATATCTTTTTCGACTCCGCCTCCACACAGAGAAGTCCATCGTAAGCACTACGATATCTATCTCTCTCGCTATACATGCCCATAGCAAAAACGCCCCCAGGACAGCAGTGATGATCTCAATGTGTGTGTGTTTTTTTTCTTTCGGTTCGCGAATAAATGACTTTGCGAGGAAGAAAGCCTTTCTGGCACGTTTATAGACGCAGTGTGAAGAGCAGGAATTCATGATAATGGCACTGCACTAATTTGTCAATGTGGCAAAAACGGGCAGCTTTCAGAGGATCTTTTGGCGGAGGCAGCATTCCTTGTTTACACTAATGTACGTTGCTAGGAAAATCGAACATTGAAAGCATTTAGGTTCCATTACTTTCAGTGAGATTTGAGCTAGACATGGACATCAAGCCGTTGGTAACAAATGCTCAAGAAAGTTTTCTTCAGTTTAGAAAAAGTTTAGTTAGGAGAATTTTACCATGTGAGACTATAAAAACAAAGCTTTAAAAACAAACTACAAGAAAAACGTTCTCGAACAGCAAAAATTGCGAGCGTCAGCTGTCACTTACATAAAAGAGAAGTTTAGCGAAAGAAGAATGAGAACATACTTACAAGAAGGAAGACTTAAGTAGTAGAAAAATATCCGGAGGAATAAAGGAAATGCTAAGTGCGTCAAAAATGTGGTTTCAATGGATAAGTAAAGCAATTGTCAAGGTTTTTTGCTATTAGATCAGTTCAAAGTCTTAGGTCTCGGCTACATGATTCGAGGGATATTTGAGATTCTTTCCAAAAAATGCGCCCATGAAAAGAAGAAAACCCCAAACAAAGAAGTCATAATGTCATTTAGGAGCGACTCTCTTCCAGAGTTTTGGTAAAAATTACTTTTTGATTTTCTTCAAATTTTCAATGCAAAACTCGATCACTGCTTCCTATTTTGTCAGCTCATCTGGATTCGAAGGGGTTGCTATTTGTAGACCGAAAAGCTTGATAAGACCTACGATTTTAACAAACCGCGAAAATCTTCCCTTTTCGTATTTTCATATCCCCAACTTCCCAATTCCAAAAAGCTTCCGGCTGTCTATAGCCGACCGTTAAAACAAGGCCTCGGTTCACATATGGCATTGAGTGTATGTGTGTGAGTGTGATTTGCTGCTTCTCCTCCTCCTCGCCCTCACTTCCACATTCAGCCGACAAACGAAACGAGAATCGATTTCTCTGATTCATCAACCTTCACCTCGGCTCCCGTCATTCAGACGGATTCATCGATTTCCCGTCTTTCGACCGATCGACATCGGGTTCAACTCGAACACACGGCAAAAACCAAATGTTACAAACGAAAAATTGAACGTAACAAGCAACAAGGAGCCTTGATCGCAGGATAAAGGAGGTTATTGGCAAAAGTCAACTTTTGTAGCCCAAAAACAGCCCCGTAAAGGAAATAACACTTCAAAGTGCGATGTTCCTAATGAGTTTTCAAGAAAAGTTGATAAGATAACGAGAATTTAGAGAAAAAGAGAAAAAGGAATGCTTGATGTCATCTGTAAACTAAAATAAAGAATGATCCTCTCATGTGAGCTTACAACCATGACATACAAAAAAGGAATACGAAGTTAATCAAATATTAAAAAACTATATGTCGAGCCAATTTGCTTTTCTAGTCTGACCAAATTCTTGGTTTAACATACTTGCAACGGACTTGAGCTTAGTTGTACTTGTTTAAAGGAATGAAATAGATATTTTGCAGGTTTCAAAGGGGTTAGGAATATCAACAAACTTCAATTCAATCTTCGTTCAAAAGATTGTTAAGGAACCATTTGCAAAAAAAAATGAATTAATTGTTTCGTTATGACGTTGTTTTGTTTTGTTGTTTGTTTTGTTAATCTTTATCTGTTTTCCGTAGCGTCTCCCTACGTAATAATAAAATAAATAAATAAATTCTCAAGAAGTCTTTGTGAGTTCACGATGTGTCCAAAAATTTCAGTATAAAATACTATTGTGTAAAAGGTCCAATGATGATGTCAGAGTCTCCAAGGTTTACGGCTTTTCACATCCTGATAGTAACTGAAGGAAAAGCACAAATTTAAGAGAGCAAATTCGAGTGGAAATGAGAAGCGGTTCGCATTTTTTTCAACTCAGCTCAGTCCTAGCGTAATTGTTATATTGTGAGAGAAATGATTCAAAAGTTTTCTCCCTGCTGCCTAGGCGTTAGAATCTATGATTCTGTGTGATCTCCGCTTATCATAGCAATTTCCTGTCCCACACTTTCCCAAATTCGCCTCGATCCCATCCAAATCTGGCTAATCCCAGCATGGGAAAAATTCCAGTCTCAAGAAGTGGCCCGTCACTGATCTCAGTCCTATAAACACACACAAACACCCGGCTACCGTCCAAAAACTGCCTGTTTTCGCGTTTGTTTATTTCAGCAAGCGCGCGCGCAGTTCCGGTCCGCGGCCACCAGCGCGCCTCATACGGTCGGTCGCATGCGTCGGAGTGGGCGTGGCCATGCATGTGCCATGCCATAATTGGTCTGGGTATACGGTAATCGCTTACCGTTGCGTCTGGAGTGTCGGCAGCACGTCGTTTTCGTGGATTTGGTGGCGCTGTACCGGTTTCAAATGTGAACTCGGTTCGATTCGGTTGTAGATCAGAACCATCTGAAGCGAAAAATGTGAAAATCATTTTTTTGGGCAGTTAGTAGCGCTCAATCTCGCCAGGGTACCCGAGAATGACTCTTGTTACAGTAACCCTAAACCAGTTCTGCTCTCTTATGACGCTCCAATTTTGTGTTGATGATGTGTCTATATGTCTCACACTCTTTGTGTGGAAGAATGTGTTAATGACAGTCCAATTTTGCCTCTCGTCTCATATAAAAGTTAATAACCCTCGAGTTATATGTCATATAGTCAACCGAAGGTCACATGAGTCCAATACGACCTTTCAAAGTAATTCTAGACTACAAAAACCATGTAATGTTACCATAATTGACAAAATGGGGTACTTACCACCGGGTGCATTCAAACATGTCTGGATTAGTGCTTTTCCAGTGTCCGAAGAGATCATTGGTTGGAGTTTCTTTGTCGCATATGTGTATACGTGACCGGTTTCCGATGCGACTAGTAGCATAACTTGGGTGCCCGTTAATGTCGATAACTCGTATGCCTAAAACACATTGCAGAATTCAGAACCACCCCGAAATGATAGCAATGGGTAAAGATTTTAGGATAAACTGACAGGAAATAGAGAGTTAAATAAACACACAGCGTCAAATCGCGCTAGAATGCAAAAACTTGACCCAGCGCTCAAGCAATTGAACCGTTCTCGAGAAAGGCTGATTTTGGTCTTAGAATAACAATAGAATCTCTCCTGTTAAATTGGAATCTCGTATCGAAAAAACTTACTCTATGCTTGTTGCTCCCTGCCTTCCCTCCCCCCCCCTCTCCCCGAAACCCGCTTTGCTTCTCTTCCTATAGCTTCAAAATTCTAGAGAAATGGATACGGAAAACTCACTTTCTTCATTATTCCCGTTTTTCGTTTGCTAAATGTTGTATATCGTCGCAATTTATTGCCAATGTATTCCATTTTTATCTTCACACGTCCTGCAACAGTTAACTTTACCAAATTTAAGTTTTCGTTTTAGGACCAGTCTTTGCCAAACCTTTAGTTTTCTTGCCATTAGGCAATAAACCAGGTGTTGACGTTGATTCTGGTAATGATGGTTGTTGTGTAGAGGTTGATGAACTGCTTTGGAGATGATGCATCAATTGTGCTAACTCCGGTGAATCTTCCATTGTTTTTGTGGAGATTCTAGAAAAAGGGACGGTAGCACTACGGTATCCAGGTTGCACGGGCAGTAAGCTACGGTACTCGAAGATAAACGCATATGTAATGAATGAATGATCTTATGAAGAAGAGGAGGGAACTAAAGACATAGCCAAGGCTGTTGAGGTTGTAAAATCACGGTTACGGTAATGGTACAGTAACAGGTATGAACTGTACTTTATGGCACCTAAGAAAGAATCCGTTCCAGGGAATAGCTTTATGAGGAAGCACGAAAACGAAAGTAATAGGGATACATAGCCAAAATGCTTGAAGAACTACGTAAAGAGTTATTTATATGGAAAGGAGAGTGGAGACACGTGTCATGACGTGGATTAGGCCATATATGGCAAGTAAGAAACATGTATGGACATGATCGAAAAAATCAGATGAGAATGAAACAGAGTTAATTTTCTTTAATCGATTTCTAAAAAAAACGAAGCAAACGTGATTTTAAAAATTTGAGGAAGGCAGTCATGCACTGTAAACAGCAAATGAGAATGAGAATCGTCAGACCTCTGATCCACAATAGCGATTACGGTAATCGTGTCATATAAAGAATGAATCAGAACGTAAGCAGAGAACGGTGTCATCGTTGTCGGCATTATGGAAATCGCCCCCGCCCCCCCCCCCCGCCCCGCGCCCCGCGCCACATCCAGGAATCCATGAGCGCGCGCACTTGTCATACGCGCTCGCCACACTCACACACACACCCTCCTCAGAACATGAACATGGAATCAAGGGGGCCGGTGCTCACAGCTTAGGGAACAGCTGCTGTTTCTTTCCCCGTGGCCAAAACTCAAACTTGATTTGACCTCTTTGAGGAGCTTCGCGGTTGTACTTGCGAGTGGATCTGGCTCTGCAACATGCGCTAGAATACGGGAATCGTTCGGATATCTCGGGTGGATGAGAGTTCCGGGTGAGAAAGCAAGTCAGCTGATTTGTAAGAGCGTTGCCTAAGCAGAGCTGAATCCGGTTGCGACTGATTAAGTGTGTGTAGCACTTGTATCAAGAGCGACAAAAAGTAGACGGGTATCTTGGATAAAAATTTTAGAGATATCCCTTGTTCGGGTAGTTTTAGGGGGATTCTACAAATCTTACATTACCAGTAAAGGTTGCAGAAGCAGGTAGCCAGCGATAGCGTATAAAAAAAGTTAGTTCAAATGTAAAGAAGAAAGCACGATAATTTAGAATCAACATTTTATCTTCCTTGAGTTTTTTTTCAAGAAGTCGAAAATCTAAAAAAAAACTTCTGTTTTTTTAGATTTTCGACTTTCCATTAATAATCTTGCATTAAAAAACGCTCGTAAATGCTGTTTTTATCAAGTTCCTAGGTAATTTTATGTCGACAAAAGATTAGAGGAAAAAATGAAAAATGTGTTATAAATTAGAGAAAGAGCAGCCAGTGAAAGAAGGGGACCGGTAAATACCGATAGTACTTAAAGGATTTTCTAAAGCTGTCTTATTTTATTTTTGGGAGACCCAAAATAACAGTTTTTTGTGGAACTTCTACCCCTACTTTAGGACAAAATTTCAAACTATACTCGGTTTTCCTTTTTACCGAAGTTTCCAGCTAGATACTATGCGGAAAGCATTGTTATAACGATCGAGTGACAGATTTGAAAAAATGAGATTTTCTATTTGATGACCAGAAGCCTACTGTCACTTTATCGAAAAATCACAAAATTTCCTCTGTGGGACACTATAGATCTAAAAGTTCAAGGATGGAGGGGGGGGGGGGGGGAGGAATGGGTAGCAGGAGCTTGGACGGTGGATGGAAGGAGTTGGACGCGCCGCTCCTGAATCTGTACAGGAGTGAATGAGAGTCTCGATTAGCTCCTCAGCCTCCAATCGAAAGTTGTCGGAAGTAGGGAAATGGATCCGAGTGACCCGACACGATGACAATTTACAAAAGCGCAATGAGCTTCTCAAATGAGGGAACAAACGACGTAAGCGTCCACATCGTCATCGCCATCATCATCGTCATCGTCGTCTCCGTCATCGCAGTAAGGGCCGTGGTTGGTCGGTGCTGGTATTGGGATTGGGGTCAATTGCGTTTCCCTAATAATGACACTGTGAAGAAACGACCAAATATTCGCGCGTCCTGTACGTGGTGCGCGAGTTTTTTGCGCGGCTCGCGCCCGACGGCGACGGACACGGAGACGTCGTCGACGGCGATGGTGAAGGAGGTTCCGCAGCTCGCCGCGGTTGCGTTCGCTCTGCTACCTGATTAGAAACTGGAACGGGTGAATTCAATGGAGAAGAATGGGAGAGTGAGAGAGACGAACGACGAACGAGTGCAAGCGAATTGCCGGCGCACTCACACGCACCGCTATTACTAACACACCGTATATTAGTGGCGTGGCCAGTCATGGAGAACAGCCACGCATGGAAGTGGGGCGATTACGGTAGCCCAGAGCCTTACCAGGTATTGTGACTTTGTTTGGAAAGAAGTGCATAGCAGGGCGATAACTCTAATGTTTGCTTTTACTGCTTCATGCACTCAGTGGCACGAAATATTGACTATAAAATAAACGAAAAATATGAATTTTCTCGGAAAGAGGAATTTATGAAAACTTCCAAATGAGCAAATGGGCAGGAAGAATAAGAAAGTATAAGAAAGTATTCAAAACATGTTATGGGAATAAAATTTGAAATGCTTACAATGATGAAAAAATGAGAGTGTTAGAGAAAATCTGCATAAAACTGATAGCGCAGTATTAAAGCAAATGGGCAGGAAGAATAAGAAAGTATAAGAAAGTATTCAAAACATGTTATGGGAATAAAATTTGAAATGCTTACAATGATGAAAACCAAATTTGCTGTGAAATTACCGAAAATAAGCAGGTCAAACCTCTTTTTCAAATTTTTACGTCAATACTCTTCCTGTGCATTTCACACACTAATAAGGATAATTGGGAAAATCTGGTGTATCTTAGAATTTAGAGAAGAATTTTTTCAATTATTTTGAAAAAATGATTCCCAATGTTTAGCTCAAATGTGTCATCCAAGTGATGAACTCCCGACTCCATCCGACCTTTTGAAGATTCAAAAAGTGTAACTTATACAAACGATTCGTTGTTACGGTATATTGTGCAAAATGTACAACTAAAGACTTGTAGATGACTCAGATGAATAGCAAATCTACTTGAGTTTTTTTTCTCCTTACAAAAGCAGAGAGAACCTTTCAACTAGATCTGAAGTCATGTGATAAACAGAAATTCAGAAAAAAAAGTAAAATCGATTGAGTTTTGAGGAATCCACAACCGATACTTTGACCCTACCAGGTATAGCTTGACCTTAACCATAGTAAACGATACGTGTAGCTTATATGGTTACCAGGCATCTGCCCACGTACAAAGAACTTTGTGCCGACATCCAGAACACCGCAGAGCAGGCGGCCTGTTCGGCTCGGGACGTGGCGTAAAAGGTCTGCGTAACTGCCTTGTGTGGTACGCTGTAATAGAGCCGACCCGGCTAAGTCGATCCTTAGAAGGTTTAACAGCAGCCGATAACTGGGGGTGAACAGTTGTCGCCAGTGATGGGTTTGAAAGGCAATCAAACGAGGTAAGGAGCACATCAAGTGAGTAAAGGAGAAATGGAGCGGAAGTGCATCCTATTATCTTCTTATTCTAGTTCTAGGTTGGAATAAATTTGAAGAGGTTTGTGCTTGGCGTGTCTCGTAAATGAACTGGAACGTGTCTCTCTCACAGTCAAGTCAGTTCTAGATAGCTAGCGCTCGTACGAGCGAACGCGCAAGTTGTCCTTCCCGAAAATATTTAGGTCAAAAACTGCTCGCCCGAACTAGCTCATGCGCTAGTGTACCGTACGTTGGGTGATTTTCTTCTCACATTCCCGAGACGAGAGAAATCGTAACTGCCTTTGTTAGTCTTACAAACAATACCTTAGAGTATACTTAGCAAGAAAAAAATAGATTGGAATGGAGAAGGGAAGGCATAAGGAGGAGAAACTGGAAAGGAATTAATTCCTTTATTTGCGGGAAAGTTTCGAGAAAGCGGGAACGAAAGAGATAGGAATGGCGGCACAAATAGCCGGGCTCTACCTCGAAGCGTCAAATAAGCACATGCGAAACACAACATTACACACTCTGGGCTCTATGTGTCGGCTCGATCAGAAAAAGGGAAGCCGTCGACGATATGGAGAGTTGAGAGCTGCCGCAGCCGGCTGCTGACGACGCGTGGGCGACGCTGATAGCCGAAGTAGGTGTTCGTTCCCTGAGGTGGCAGAGGGGGATTCCCGGAAGTGGGTAAGGCAGACTTCCTTAGCTGTCAAGTACGTACTCAGGCCGCTGTCAATTGGATGTCCCAGCTTCTCAGTCTTAGTCCCCTCCACCCTCCTCCCCAACTCCCTCCCATTTCTTTCTAGCTATGCATGCTTTTTCTTCCCCCCCCCCCCCTCCCCATAGATCCCCTTAGATTTATGTTTATATTAATCGCACAATGATCGCGCAAAAGATATGCCGTATGAGTAAGAGCGGATTCTCCTGCTGCCCTTCTCTGCCCTGCCCCGTGTGTGTGTGACTCAACAAAACCATACGAAATCTCTCCTCGCCGCTCCCGCGTTGGAGAATATTGTAAAGTGGAGGATGATGGCGAGATGTGTGCATGCATGTGCAATGGCATTCTGGCATTTTAGTGCTGTTGATGACGTCATACATCATCTCGTACTGAAAATCACTTTCAGTATGGAGATAGTTTAGTCAGACTGATGCTGTCACTTTTATCTGTCATTGTTGTTCAGAATCGTTTTGTCGTAACAAACTCAGTTTTTATTCTATTTAGCGCTCGTGCTTTGGTTTTGAGCCGATTGTTTCTAGAAATTGTATATAAAGCGTGATTTTCTGTGGAGTTCTTCAAAACTTGAAAAAAGAAAGTATAACTTATGATATCAAAATAAGAACGTGAAAACGTCAAAATTTTACTCTTACTTTTGAAAATTCCACAGAAAATTC